CTGCTGTTGCTGCTGCTGCTATTGCTGCTGCTGCTGCTGCTGCTGCTGCAGCGTTGCTGCATATCTGGTGGTAGAATAAGCTGCTGCAGCTCTTGGAGCAACGACTCAACAGCAGCAGCTGCAGCAGCAGCAGGAGTTGCTGCTCCCTGCTGCTGCTGCAGCCCTGTCTGTTGCTCCCTGCTGCTGCCACTTGTGCTGCTGCTGCTGCTGCTGCTGCTGCTGCTATTAAGAGACGAACGTAGTGTGCATGCAATACTAAGGAGACAATTATAACTACTAAGACAGAGACGGCTCTGCTGCTGTCTCCTTAATGCTTGCTGCTTCTGCTGCAGCAGCAGCAGCACGGTGCTGCGTGTATATAATAGATCATTATAATGCTGCTGTACTTGTGCTGCTGCTGCTGCTTGCTGCTGCTGCTCACAAAGAGCAGCAAAATCTTTATCTGCAGCAACAAGTGTCTCCTGCAGCGCAGCAATGCTGCTCTTGCTGCTGTATAAAAGAGACAGCAGCGCCTCCTGCAGCAGCAGCGCCCCCTTATCTAATTCTGCAGATAAACTGGATAGACTCTGGCTCCTGCAGCAGCAGCAGCAGCAGCAGCAGCAGCAACAGCAGCAGCAGCAGCAACAGCAGCAGTAGCATGTGCAGCAGCAGAAAAAGCAGCAAAATTAGCAGCAATAAATATAATTATATAAATAAATATATAAAATAAATAATAATTATATTTATTTATTTATTTATTTATTTATTTATTTATTTATTTATTTTATTTACCTGCTAGCCTGCAGCACAAAGTTGAGGGCATTTGTTGATTTTGCTGCTGCTGCTGCTGCTTCAGAGAGAGGCGGTACTCTTGCTGCTGCTGCTGCTGCTGCTGCTGCTGCTGCGGACGACGAATCTGTACCATTTGCTGCAGCAACTCCTGCAGGAGCAGCAGCAGCAGCAGCTGCTGCTGCTGCTGCGTCTTTGTCGACTTCAGAAGCAGCCATAGTGCGCTGTCAGCAGCAGCAAAGGCGGAGGCGTCAGCAGCAGCAACACTCTGCTGCTGCAGCAAGCTGCTGTGCTGCAGCAGCAGCAGCAGCAGTAGGCTGCGGTGCTGCTGCTACCCCCAAGGGGCCCCTTAGAGGGTACAGGAGAAGAGAGAATTAGTAAATATGTCTTAACATCAAGAAACAAAAAAATTAGGGTTTAGGGTTTAGGGTTTAGGGTTTAGGGTTTAGGGTTTAGGGTTTGAGTCTGCAGGAGTGTGTTGTCTTGTCTGCATAGCAGGAATATATTTATAAATAATTAATTAAATATTTATTAATTATTTATTTAAATTTAATTTATTTTTACTATTTTCTTGTCTTCTTCTATTGCTGCTGCTGCTGCTGCTGCTGCTGTTGCTGCTGCTGCTGCTGCTGTTGCTGCTGCTGCTGGCGGGCCCCCCATAGTAGCCTTTGGGGCTGCGGCGTTGCGGTGTATCTTTTGTCTCCTTTTTCTTCTTTTTTTTTTTTATTTAATATAATTATTTTATTATTAATAACTAGCTAGCTAGCTAGCTAGCTAATTAATTAGCTAGCTAGC